CATATATATATATTCAATATATATACATATACATACATATATATATATATATATATATATATAGTCGTGATTATAAATGCGTACTAGTATACATATACGGGTGCCCTTTAAATACCTCGTCGTCGCCAATGATTTTCAGACTGGCCATTTCGATGGAGAGCCCGCCAAAAGTGAGTGCCCAAATCAAGAAGTCCACGATCTTGAGAGTCTTTCTCACGCCATCCTAAAGTCAAATACACAGATTTACTGTTAGAGTGTATTTGAGATTAAAAACGAAGGAACTAGAGCAAAACACCAAACGACCAGTAATTCAATACATCGGATACCAACAGCCTAGAGATATAAAAACCCTAAAACCCTAGAGATATACAGCACCAATGCGTATGTGTGGGAAGAACAAGTGAGACAACGTAAACTGACATTTTTGTTAATAGGAAAAAACCTAAAACCCTAAAACTCTAAACGTTTGGTTGAGACTGAATCCCTCATGAACTATGGACAGGCCATGTCCTGTCGCCACTGGCTGTACATTGGGCCCTGCTACTGCGTTGCACCATTACAATCTCGAGCATACACAAAGTCACAAAGGCCAACTCTGTTAGGTGTACATAGACCTCTTTAATTGTCGTATAGCAAGATTTAACATGCCCAACTTCTTCAATAATTGTCTTATACCAGATTCATATACACAACTATTTCTTGTTGGTGCTTCACATGCACACATGCACACATTCCTCCTTATTTGTCCTGTACCGTATCTCCCCCCTGGCCCACCTACCTGTTTGGGTTTCTTAGCGTTCTTCGCCTTATTCCCCGTGGTCTTCTCCTTCGCTGTACGCTCCAGTTGGCGTAGCACCACCGCAACCTCGTGCACACGCAGCGCCACAACGGCCGAGTCTCTCACATGCACATGCGAGTGTGTGACTGAGGTCTTGCAGAAGAGGTTGACATACGGCACCCGAACATAGGGCACGAGGACATGCACATGCGCCTGTGGGAATGGGAGGTAGAGGACTCAGAATATGTGCGTGTAGGCGGGCGTATGTATGGGGTATATTAGTGTATGTAGGCGTGTGCGCTAAGTGAGTACTCTTGTACGTATGTATGCTTGTAAGTGTATGCAATGTACATACGTACGCTTACAAAGTGTATGTAATGTACATATGTATGCTTGTAAGTGTATGCAATACACATATGTACGCTTATAAAGTGTATGAAATGTACATATGTATGCTTGTAAGTGTATGTAGTGTACATATGCACGCTTATAAAGTGTATGTAAGTTGTACATATGTGCACATGTGTAGAGGCGTTTGCGTTTGTAAACCAGTCACCAGATTCACTCATACCGATACTAAAGCCGACTTTGAAGCGGGCTCTGCAGTGACAACAAACCGGACACCTCGTGACACGAAGTTGACACTCAGGTTCAACCCTTTACTCCTCAGATACCATTCCAGGGCCCTGTGCGTGTACAATTGATTGTGTTGATTGTGTCGATTGTATTGCTTGTATTGATTGTATTGATTGTATGGATTGTATTTATTGTATTGATTGTATTGATTGTATTTATTGTATTGATTGTAATGATTGTATGGATTGTATTGATTGTATTGATTGTATTGATTGTAATGATTGTATGGATTGTATTGATTGTATTGATTGTATTGATTGTATTGATTGTATTATTTGTATTGATTGTATTGATTGTATTGATTGTATTGTCCGATTTCACGTGTTGATGACCAATTGCGTGACACTAGGGATCATTCAACAGACTGAGCAGAGTATTCTCGTGGGATTGAGAAACAGAGACTAAAAGAAGTGTTCGATGCAAACGACCACGTGGCAATATAAACGCGAATAGAGGTCACAGGAACGGGAGAGACAACGATGCAGTGACCGGGAATAGTACCAGCGTGCAGATGAATAACACAGGCAGTGAAGTACCATTATATCTGATGTGTGGCCTATGGTAGACCCAACCCTATACCTTGGACACGTTGCCATACGACCACGTACACTACACCACACGAAATATATAATGAAGCTAATAACCTCAACAGGAAATGTATAATGAAGCTAGTAACCTCGACACAAAATATTTGTATACACATGCACACTAGACAAGCTCAGGTACAAATGGGCGGTGACGTATAAAAACTCACAATCATAACACAGATATGTATATACGTGGAATACTAGATGAATCCATACAAGTCCAATCATTAAAAGGTCTATTAATCTGTGCAGACACACCACACACACACACGCATATATATATATAAATCAATATATATATA